ACCTCTTGCCTGGACAAGAACTGTTGCTGAACTACAACTTGTTCGTTCCCCAGATCTTCTGAGCCCGGTCCAAGTGCTGTTGTGGTTGGCTGATCCCAGGCGACGCCCGCATCCAGCCTGGTACCATCCTGTAGATACAGTCGAGTAGTCGTGGTGCCTGCGGCGCTCCTTGCTGCGATGAGCTCCGCGGACGAGAAGCCAGACGCAGGTTCTCACCTCGGCACCTCAAGGAGAGCTCCCGGAGCTCGTCCGGAGCTCGTCTCTCGTGAGTGCCACGGCGGCGGTGCTGTGCACTCTGTGCACTTACTCCGCAAATCCCCGGAAAAGCAAGTGCCGCGTGTTACTTGCGCTTCATTGCGATCGCATGACAACTCTTCAGACGAAGTTTCTTTGTCAATGCACGGCAGGTGTCAAGTTTCTGCGGAATCTCAGTGACCAGCTCGCGGGCCGGACCTGTACAGTGTGTCGCTCTCTCTCTCTCTCTCTCTCTCTCGTTATCTCCCTTTCCCCCCCTGGAAAAGCATTGAAGGGTCGAAGTCCTGCCTTGCCAAAGGTGAAGAGATGCTCTCATCCAAAGACCTCGGCATGCTGATAGACCAGAGGAGGACCCAGCCGAAGCGAAAATCATCCGAGATGCTGCTGCGGCAGTCCGAGCGATTCTGGGTGTTCTGTTTCTCGACACGGCTATGTCTCGAACAGGACTTGTCTGCTTGAAGGTGCAGTCTGGGCAACAGTGCGACAAACAATCAACAAGGTCTTTCTGCATTCGGCTTCCAAAAAACAATCATCGCCTGTACCTCGCTTCAAGGATCGCGTTGCAGTGGTGTCCGGGACCTTCCATCGCACTGTTCCCGGCTAGGGTGCAGGTCATCCAGGTTGCAGCGAGAGCAGCAGCAGTCTACAGGTTGCAAAACCAAATCGACCGTGATGAAGAAAGGCTGTGGAGGCTGGGAGGTTGGTGCTGCGACACTGTGCGTGTAAGTCGTGCAGCCGGCATGGGAGGCGGCATTGTGATTGCGCCCTGGAGCTCCATCTATGGCGACGAGGATATTTCCCGGAGTAGAGTCAAGTGAGAGAATAAGCGGCCATAGCGACTGGCGGCACTGAGTGCAGGACTTGAAAATCGTTTGGCTGCCATTGGAAGCTTGCGAGGCCTACTTGGAGCGCAGCTCTGGGCTTGGAGATACGAGTGGGTTCAGAGCAGTTCAAGTGTCAGGCGCTAGCTTTGCAGCACAAGCCGTGGTCTAACGAGTCGGAAGCTTTGCCTTCGGCGTCTTTGGTCTGCACCGCAGATGCCGCAAACTGGTTAGGCTGTGCCGTTTGCTCAAGCTGGGATCCGGCTTGGCGCTGGCCTCATCTCAGAAACTGTATCGGTGCCCGGACGCTTACTGGTAGGCTCCTGCTGCTTGGCGTGGAGGCGAGGCCCATCCGCGGTCCGGATGAAACTCTCTTCACACGCTTGTGGGCATGAAAATCGAAGCAGCTTGCTGAAGGATCGTCCAAGACACGCAGCACAGCGTCGGCAAGGAGTGGAAATCCGCCGATCTCTGACTTCTGTCCCAGGTCCCTCCCAGACTCGCAGATTCTGCTCCGGAGCAGGAAATCTCAGCGACAAGCAAGTTTACCCCGTCCTACTCCGGGCACAAAGAGGCCTGACAAGTGCAGCACTTCCGAAGCTCGTCGAAGCTCTTTCATCCAGATTCCAGGTCGGCCCCCACATCCGGCGAGAACTCGCTGGGCAAAGGCAAGGCGGAGTTGCACATTCATGCCCATGCACCACGGTGTTAGTGCGATGTATCAGACATTTCCACACTCCACACCAGGTAGCTTAGCGCTTTCTGCTCTTTAATGCGCAGTTTGGTTTGTGCTTCTCTTGCCAAGGTGTGGATTCATTACTCCAGTATCGGCCCCAGACATGCCATGCAACAGGCATCAGCTTGTTGAGCTTTTTCCTTCTTTCATCGAAAGCCTTCTGGGTTGCCTGTTGAGCCCCAGCATCTGCCAGCGCAGCTCCCACGAGCATCTGAGACCGACATATCTCCCATAGCATGGAGTGCTTACGCTGCGCACTGGACTGACAGATCCATCAGACGTCTGATCGTCTAAGGGCTGAGAAAGTGTCCATGATCTGCTTCCAAACTTGAGGATGGCGGGCAAGCGACGCAAAGCGCAGGCACGGAGACTTGCGGCAGAGACCCGCTCTTCTAGGGCCTGGTTTTGCAGGTTGCTGCTCCGCAAGTCCTAGCACTCGAAGATGCTTCGGCGACAGAAGTCAACCAGGATACCCAGGGTCCCCTAGCAAGGAGCTTGGTTGTTGGCTGTCCGAAGGGCTACTTTTGGAAGGTTCTTTGCCAGCCACAGGCTGGATTTCGCTATAGAACTGAATTAAACTATCATGTTTCTTTGGTTTATGGAATTATCAAAATCAGCATCGGAATCATCATCAAATCATCCCCTGGTCTCCTGCCTCACCACTCATCATTTTGTTATAATTTCTTTATGCTTGATGATTTGTTTCGGGGGCGGTTCGGGCCTTTTTCCGCGAAACGATGCTAACCAAGTAAGTGAAAAAACCTAAGACTTCCTGAAGCTCTTCTCATAACTCGAGAATTCCAGGATTCCCGCGCGAGCTTTCTCCGGCCTTTTTCCACCAGCAGACTAAGACATGATAGTAGAATGTTGAATGAATAGTGATAAAGACAGCGCAGATTTCCTGAGTGAGGCTCCCCTCATGTTTTGCAAATTCCAGGATTCACGCGCACCCTTTCCCTGGCCCTTTTCCGCCAAAGGATGAGCAATTATGAACACGTGATAATAAAATACACTAAATGGTGAACACAATGAAAAAATCAAACATGATAAAATGAAGCCATGATTTCCTCAGGCTCGCATTGCTTTTCGAAGATTCTAGGATTCCAACATGCCCTTTGCCCGGCCCTTTTCCGCAAAGCGATGAAAAACCTATCAACAGTCAGTTTATTATGGTATATGTGAATTTAGCTAAATGATAATGAAAACGCTAATGAAACTGATGATGAAATTGTGAGTGGTGATGATTTGACGATGACCAGAATGATAATGTCTCATAGTTTATTGAAATTAACTCATGCAGGCTATGCCAGTCTGTCCATGCAAGAATCTTATAAGGCTACTTTTTGGGGGCCAAGCACTGTGTGTACCTGTCTGCTGTCGAGAGCTGTGCCGCTTTGCAGGAGCACGTCGCGCCTCGAG